AGTATCGATTTTTTCCCCCACCCCTAGTATTTATATAAAAATGTTCAGTTTCCTTCACAACGCTCATGGAAACAAAGGTTGCTAATGGACAGTTGAATAAATTAACACCACAATGCAAGCTTGAAACATCTCTGTAGCTGTCATTAAATGCAAAGCTATCGACACGTTCGCTGGCGCACACACACTTGCAAATTTGGCTCAAGCAGGAACGCTGCATACATGAGACCTAATACACGAGACCAGTTGTCACACAGGGATGCCATCGGAGCCAAAGTGCACAGGATGGAATGACATATGACTGCCACAGAGAGAGATATTGGACGGTATGAGAGCGTCAGCAACTCTGGCACGCCGCCTTGGGAAATAAAAAAAATAATGAAATAAAAAAGTAGAGCCCTTGTATTCAGGGGGGTTATTGTCAAGTCCTATTTGATGAAGTCAGATAGCTGACTCACATTGTCTGTCCTGAAAGGCTGCAGGCTGCCTTCTCTCCGCTTGTGGCCATATGTATTACGCCGGCCTCAGCCTCGCTCGTACACAACAGTAAACTGAAGCACAAATACCGACCCAGCAGGAGGCTGACAACAAATCCCAAAAAACGCTCTCTACCAGTGTCTCTAGTTCAGACACTGATGTCTGTAGGACTGGGCTTCATTCCTCACATCCTGAGAGTGCCAGAGGCTGCACTTCAGATGTTGTTTTAAATGTGTTTTTAGCACCGTGATGTCGATGCTGTAGTGTTCAAAGAGAGAGAGAACTGTCATAAAAGAGGTTTCTGCGAGGGACACAAGTTCAAAATCCACAAAACAGGTACTCTACAAGACCAACGTCTGACAAAGCACATAAAGTTCTTTTGAGATCACCGTGGAAATGTGAGAACAGATTAGTGAGTCATTATTTATACGAGTGGAAAGCATGGATTGGAGTTTTATTATAAAAACAAAAAGAGTTCACTGACATGAAAATAGATTCAAGGACTTGACGAATGCAAAGACTGCATATGGGACGAATTACACATTCTTTTTCTCTCGCCCGTTTATTTACAGCAATAGACTGAAATAGGAAGCAAACGTAATGAAAGATTGCCCCTGCTGCCAAAAATAATTATCTTCAAATGGGGAAAAAAGGGACGTGGTGATTGTTTTGCCTGTTTGGAATGCAGTGTTTGTTTCATTGGCACGAGGTCTGAGCCCTCCGTTCCTCCCCGAGTCTAAACGCCGCTGTCTGGCTGCTGCTGAGGCGAGCTCAGCTGAAAACGGTGCCTTTGTCGAACACTCCCCTGCACACACACCGTATGTGGGAAATAGTGTTTCCTACTGTACAGCCTACGTCAATAAAGGGATTCAAGAACTAAAAATATTTGTTGCCATAATTACTCTGGTCTACTAATTTAAGTGTGTGGGGGGGAAATCACATTAGTACTCGCGTGTGGAAAACTGTGTTCACTTTTAAACATCCGAAATTGATGTGGCCCCGAAGTGTGGAGAATTGGATTGAGGCTTCGCTGAGTTTGATAGATCCTGTTGGCACTCCAAGTTGTTTTTATATCTGGCTGGCATATTATATTCATGAGCACAATGATTTTATGAAAATAGCCTTAGGACTGTTGTGGCTCAATTAGAACATTCAGCTGCAAGCAATTAGTCGACTCAAGTGGGTGATAATCTGTACAGGAATTTTTCATGTGGACACCTCCCCAGCAGATGTGAAACTGCATGGCAGTACAGTTTGAAATAATTAATTCATTGGTAATAATATTCAGTGATGTGTTGTTTTTTTTTCTCTTTCTTTTCAGGATTTTAGTTGTTAATGATTACATTTCCTCATCTACGCTGATGATAATGATAATGACTACAAACACATTCTCGCCACACAGATAACATCTACTGAATTAAAACTGTAATTTAGGTGCATTTGAATATTATTTTGTAGTGCGTTTACTTGTGCGTGCAACAACCATCTGGTTGCTTAGATGTTACTGATCTAAATCTGTCCATCAGTCTCCATCACAGTTCAAGGAAT